AGAGGTTCCTGTGCCGACTTCTTTTAAACCTTCAGTTGTAATTTGACAWTTTCAAACAAGCTAAACAAAGGATGGAGTGTATGTTCAAACACTGTGCATGGCTGACTACATCATGCACAACAAACCCCTATTACTCTTAAAAGTTTAAAGAGGGGATGCTATGCATTTTCCAGGCACATTCTRTACCATATTTGTGTAAATAGGCAGTGCTTTGTATTATCAAGCRTTTGGGCAGCTCTACGTGGCTACAACAGGAGATTCAATTATTTCTTAAATATGCATAAATGAGTCAAAGCAACACCTCTAAGTATGTTTTTAAGAGGGAATGACATTATAACATGAAATAAAGCTCAAAACAGTTGATTTTGCTTAATACCCTCTTTAAAAAAATCCTAATCTGTGGAATATGAATCACAACAAAACTCCATTTATTTGAAAGTSATCTGCTCTTGCTCAGATTTTACTGGTTCAGAGTGTAAGGGTCAAAAAATTGAGGTAATATAAAATCTGTATCATAGGTGAAGTAATGAGAAGGTTCTAATGAGGGAGGTCTGCTGAGTTTAATACAAACTACTACTGTGATTGCCTGTATTGGACCAATGAGCCTGAATGCAGAAGCTTTTAGTTGAACTGAGAATTAAATGTTGCTAAACACAACAGGTKAAATCCTGTTTTGTATGAAAATACAGGCATGTTACAAAACCATCTAGAAGAAAACATGAAACATTTTGTTTCTTTATAGTTGCTCGTCTTTTGTAGTTTATCAGTTCACGTTCCGTCGTCATAATTAATATCTTAGACACATACAGAGTCCTGAGACCAAAATGCATGTTTTAAATCAAGTGAAATGAAACAAAACTAAAGCAAAATGAAATGCTTGATGCAAAGCTTCTGGTTTTACTCTGTGATTCAAAGTTAGAGGGAAAAAGTTCAGTTTGTCCCACAAGTGGAGTTCCACTACACGAGTAAATATTCATGTAAATCATCACCGCTTTAAAATTTGTTTCCTTCTTTGAGCCCTGAAAGCCTCCGTGAGGACACGAGCATTAATATTCACAGCTCAACTCCACAACAGAGAGACCCCTCCAGTTTCTGCAGCAGGGTAWATGTGTGTGTCTGTGCTTATTTTAGCCTCTTAAATAAAACGTGTCAGTAATCACCTGGGCAGCCTGACTGTTCTGACTGCTTCCCATTTGAACTCTATAAGACAACTAGAGCACATCTGTATGAGAAAAAAAAAACATTCCATTGATATTCTCTTCTTCACAYCACAGCACTTTTCCATTTTTCATTTACATATCATTAACCTCCCTTCATTTCTCCTGGTATGTTGTTAGGGCTTCAAATTAAATCAGCTGAATTTCTTATGCTTTGAGTTGTACTTTTAAATATATTTCCAAGATCCACTAGGGTACATAAAGAATAAAATAGGTTTTCACGTGAGATTTCTGTCATTTATATTACCATGCAACATGGTCACAGCTGCATTTATCCCCAATCTATTCAATTATACTTTACAGGAGCTGCAAACTCTCAAGTCACGAGTGTTTTAAGAGTCTCTCCATAAAAATAAAAAGAATGTGAGGCAAAAATACTCAATGAGGACTGAGGTTTAGATCTTTTAGTTATGTAATTCAAGATGTGACGGTTTCCCCTTTCCTTCACTTTTCATTCTGGTGGAAATGTATCCTGTCAAAACAYGTTTCAAAGTCAGTCTCCTCTCTGACGGCCTCTGATCTGAAGTTCCACGAATTTTCTATGCTGTCAACAAAAGTTTGCTGTCGGGTAAAGATAAGGTTAGGTTCAGGAAAAGTCAGTCAAATCTTTGGACATCATGCTGCTCTGTATGTTCTCCCGCAGACACCAGCATTAACACACACACACACATACACACATGCACGCACGCACGCGCGCGCACACATGATCAAACAGATGCAGAAAACATAAAACAAGACAGAAAAGTGAGAGTTTTTCCAGTAAACAAATTGATTTTAAAGGCAGATGGTTACAGCAGCTTTACTAGCTAACAGGAGGTCAGAAAGTAAAACTAGCAGCATCTCTATGTTAACAGAGCAGCCCTGTTCTAACAGTGACGGGAGGGGATTAGTACTTAAAGCCAAAAGCACAAAGAACCACAAAAAAAGAAAAAGCTTTCTAAATACATAAGGATAACTTGTGCAAAAAAAATCAGGACGAGTACAAGCTAACATCTAGAGTTATGTAGAAGAAAGATGCAGACAAAATGTTTTTAATGACTGTAGGATTTTAATACAAACATATCCTGCTCTGTAATCTCAAGGTAGTACCTCACTGGGTTGTGGTGATAGTTCTATCTTTAAAGTGGCTGTGACATCAAATTTTTGTAAAACATATGAATGCATTTTTGAAAAGATGTCATTGACAAAATATTGCAAAAGAAATTTCATGTCGCTGAGATGAACAGTTGTTGAGATTTTTGCCTGTAAAGTAAAAGGAAGTGATGTCAAAGGGGAATGTCTGCATGTGAGCAGAGCAGTGCTACAACAGCCAACAACCCAGACTGTAGRGAAGAATCTGATGTTTCTTAAGATTATTTTGAGTCACTATCAGAGAGATGAAGAAGAGTCAGAGTTCAAATATTATTGTTTCAATAAACAAAGACCAGAGAGTTGTCTTTGTTACAGAGTTCCCCTTTGATGTCACTTCCTGTTTCTCTTTGGCTGAGTCAAGTTCAAAAGAAAATATGCCAGTTAAGGGACAAAATGGGTAAAATCGYKTGTATTATTCCAACTTCCTTAAATATAAAGATGTTTTCTTTGAATTTTTGTGTTTGAAGAATATGCATGCCACAGGCACTTTAAGGTGACATACAGTATAATGCATTTAAATCCTTATTTTTCTCATTTAAAACATTCTGTTGGGGTCTATATAAAGTGGAATTGTAATGTTTTGGTGTAACTCCACAAGCCCCYCTTTAACCCCTTTTCTGAGGTGTGTCTCAGAACTTATCTGCACTCCTCAAGATTCCAAGTCCACAACAAAATGTATTTAACAGCTAAGAAWGTGGATTTTGGATATGTCCTCTTTAAAACTGAAGAGTGATCTCTTTCAGTAAAAGCTTTGCAGAGTAATTTGTATACTTTCGTTTTTACCTATAGTTTGCCGTGATTTTACATATGATCTGGTGATATTATCAGTCATTGCAAAGCGACCTGTTTTTTGGATTTTGTAAGAGATTAAAACTGTTGAGTTTGCACGAAGAGCAGAGCAAAGCAGTTTCTTAACTAATGCAATCTTAAAATAAAAGCGCGAGTTTTCTCGGACCGCCTGAAGGGAATGAAAAAACATAGAAGAAACAGGAAGATAAATCTCAGAGATTAATTTATAGGGCACCAATGGACAGAAAATCCTGAATGTGTTTAATGGGGGGAGTTTCTGACATTGATTTAAAACTTCTAAAAAGGGCTCAATCTGAAAAAAAAATGCAGCTGAAATTTATGGATAAATATTTACTTTCACGACTAAAGATTTTTCCCCCATTTATATAACAAATGCTCTGTGTACCAATGCATTAATTCCACATACCACAGCCTTTTCCAGCATGTCTGCCAATCTGACTACATTAGGCAGATCAGGTTATCACTCACTCAGATTCAATCTTCCCTGCTGGTACAAATGTCACCGCCTCTGAGCAAAAATGATGAAAATAAGATGAAGAAAATGATTTTAAATCAGTGCGCTGTGCCTGGGGTGGAGTGTGGTTTTGGCACGAGTCGAGCGTTTCTAAAATGGCAAACTGGAGAAATGTTCAGCATCTGGAGAAAGTGGGGCACAGTTTGGTGGAACTGATTACTAATGCTGTCTGATTAAGGGAAGAAGTGATAATTAAGTTAATGCCGGAACAAGTGGGACTGTTGATGCTAAGCCTCTGAATTTCAAATGCGCTCTCCTCTTCAGTTTATGAATTCAATTAATTAAGAGTTAAGTTGGATTTTGAGAAATGCCATCCCAAACATTTTTGATGAAGTGTAGGTTAAAATAGAATCTTGTGAATTTTTAAACATGTTTTACCAGATTATAATTCCCTCAGCAGTGATCGTGGCTGCATCTTTTTCCTGTCCTAACATAGGTGGGACAGAAAGCGAGAGGAGGTGAAAGCATTTAGAGAGGTAAGTGGATACCTTTCTTCTTTGCTGCATTTTGTTCTGCCATCCGGAATATCCAAGCTTTTACTGTACACTGATTTACTATGGTGAGACAGAAGACAAAGTGAGCAGAGTGTCAGTCTGTTTGTGCTGGCTGACACTGGATCCAAACTCACTGAAACACAATTGAACACCGAGGTCCTTCCAACACACACACAACTCTGCCTCGATTTGTTCAGTCAAAAATTGAGTGATTTTACTCTCCTCCTCCTACCTTTGTCCGTGTTGTGTCATGTCGATAGCCCTCCTGGCTGGAACCGGCGAACCTCCATCTGTCACACTGAGGACCTCCATAGACTTCCTCTCAGGTCTCCTCTTGCCATGACGGTTCAACATGGGGGAATCCACTCGCTTCCTTGGTGGATCTGCGTCACAACCAAACAGAATAAACACGAAGCACCTGACCCGTCTGCGTTAGTGAGTAAATTTCTACATATTGAGCAGTTCTGAGCATCGTGCGGACAACTGTGAGAGCCTGAATGATGTTTAGCACTGATCACATTGACATTCTAACTAATAGAGAATAAGTAATGGCTTCCTTCCAGACTTTGAACTAATGGTCACTGTATTGACTGTACCACATTCACTGAGCGAGGAGTCTATTCATCAAAATGTCGGTATCTCACGGCAGACACACACACACACACACACACACGGTAGGCTGGGTAGAGCATTTCTGTCTGCTCAGATTTCTGTGGGTGGAAATCAGTGAATCCCAAAATGTAAGTTTTTTTTAGTTCTGATGTGGAAAAAATACTGTAGTATGGTTCAACCACAAAATCCTTCTACAACACACCTGTTCACAGTAGTACTGTGTTGTATAACCTACTATTTTAAAGGGTGGGTATTATGCATTTTCCATATCATAATCAAGCAACTATGTTTGGTTATTATAAAAATGATGCATGTTATGGACTAATTATCTAACGGTTTCACCTTTGGTGCTGTCCAGTACTCATATCTGTTTGCCCAGACGTCAGGACTCTGCAACGGACTGAACTCTCTTGTTTGATAAGASACTCTTTGAGCTGAGAGCCCTGTGATTGGCTGGATAGTACATTAGGCGATCTGTGATTGGTTATAAGCACGTCATATGATGTTATCACGGTGTATATTATTGGCTGTGTCCGCTGACGTGTCAGCGACAAGCCGACAGAGCTTCCTGATTGAGTCCTGTTTGCCTGTCGCTCAGAATTAAATCATTATTTACGACCATACACGCAGACTTTCTGTGCATTATTCCAACGTGTTTCTGCATTCTTGGTGAATCATGCGACGACAGATTTTGGCGTTGTCGAAGGGCAGCACCAAGGACCGGAGGACTACCTGCAGCAGTCGACTGTTTTGTCTCGGAGATCCACTGGAAGATGGAGGCTGACAAAAACTGACCTGTTTTTGTCTGCGGATCGTGTMCGGGTTTTGTGATCTGTCATTACCTCGGCTGCTGTGGGTAGCTTTTGGGACTGGAGCTGAAAAAAGAACCTGTCTGTCGGCAGAAGCACGGTGAGCTAATATTTTCATTAGCACCTTATGCTAAAGAGCTACGGCTAATTTTTCGGCCCACACATATTGAAATTGTAAATTGTTAAACGCTTGTCTGTTTTTTCTGAGGCTGAAATGACACYAGTCGAGGTAGGTGTGGGAGCGATCCATTCCACATCGAGTCAAAACAGGGAGCTCAGCTTTCTGTTTTAATGTAGCCAAGAGGACAGTTTCTCTTAGGTGAGTGTAGACAGGTTAACATATGCATAACAATGCATATATCAAAAATAAATTTGACTTTGCACCATACTACCATTTCAGACTCCCACTTCAGCATGTTTTCAAACAATGCTTCAGAGGAGGGGTGTTCTGTGTGGAGGGATCTTGGCTGCAGAMTGAGCTCACAAGGAGGCGCTAGGTACAAATAGGTGGTGCTTTGTAGCAGCAAGTGTTTAGGCAGCTCCACATGGCTACAACAGGAGATACAAGGATTTCTCAAACATGCATGAATGAGTCAAAGTGACACACTGAATATGTTTTATGCAATCCTTTTTGCACAACACCTACTCTAATATTGGCATTTTTTATAATTATTAGATAAAAAACACAATTTTATTATTAACAATTTCACCATTTAGGGTGTTTGAAGTATGTTTATTATAACAAAAAAGCATTCCCCCTCTTGAAAACACATATGTGTTGGACTTAACCAAGTTATCTAAACTGTTTTCAATTAACTGAGTTGAGTAAATGTAAAGTGATTTTCACATATAAATGGGAAAATTTCTTCACATTTACTCAGCTAAGTTAAGTGGAACCAGTTGACATAAGGTTAAATAAATCCAAACACATGTTTTTTAAATATGAACAGCTATAGTTATGTTACATCTCCAGTTTTTTTTTTGTTGTACTTTTCAATCCTCACCAATCTCATTGCGAGGGGGAAGGTTCTGGTCCTCCTGACTCGGGTACCTCTCTTTGCGATCAAGTAACAAGAAGTAGATCATCTTCTCTTGGTTCTCACTGCAAAGACATTAGAGTTAAAAGTCTTTAGGAATTGTTCTGACAGAGCAAAAAGGTAAAACTATAATAAAGCTAGTTTGTATGAAGTTTGTCAGGAAGGAAGGAAAACAATAAGTAAAAATTTCATTAATACATATGACAATCTTCWAGACCTCACAGAATGATTAATGTTCTTTAATCTCTTTTTGGATGCAGTGAAACGGCTACTTAATAGCTTTAATCTTTAAAACAAATTTTAGTTTTACACGCCATTAAGCAATCGTATATGCATTTATTTTCTTTTAGGATACAGCCTACATCCTTGTGCCRAGTGGATCAGTATCAGGTCTAAAAAAAAGGATCACCGCTATAAGTTTGACCTTTTCTTTCACAGCAAATCAGAAAGCCCAATATCTTTAGCCTCTATCTAACACTCTCTATGCAAAATATCCAGGGAATAGGTTCCTATAATAAAGACAGATTGGAAAGCAGCAGGAGGCAAAGAGACAAGGACCTGCAACTTCAGCTAAAATGAACCAGGGGGAAAGGAAATTTAAGATCACAGATTTTCCTCTTATGCAGCACAATTACAAAAATCTCCCGTGGGAAAGGCAGCAAATGGAGGAGATGGTGAGAGGCACAGTGAAAAAGCAGTTCTAGTTTAGCATTAAATGAGAAAGACTGAGGAAAATGTTTTTTTTTTTAAAAAAATACTACACTACTGGGCTCACGCTTACAAGAAACTTCTATATATATCACTGCGGCGTTAACATCGCTTGTGCAGACGTGGATTCACAGGAACAGAAAAGTCACATGTGTAAGTGAGACACAGATATCAGTGGGACATCAGCATTGTGACCCGCGAGCACGTTCATAATGCATCGCGGGATGAGTTTGGAGGGGATGTATCCAGCAGCAAGCAGTGTGAGAGCTGTGTGACAGAAGTTAAGTGATCTATGGCTTCTGACATCTAAAGCGACAGCTTCACAGGATTTCATAGGAGCTCGGGGAAAACCACAGCTGAGAGGCACACTGACACAAGAACACACCCACCCTTTCATAGCATCCCCTCACTACCTTTATTGTAGCCCCCTGTTGTCCCTGATTTCACATTCTTCCAATGTGTTTCTTAACTTGCATTTCTGATCTACTAACATTCATTTCTTCTGTTCCCTGCCCCTTTTCTTTTACACCTTTTTTTTTGTTCAAACAAATCCACTCACTCATCTGAGAGCAGGTCTTTCAGAAGTTTGTTTTTGTCTCTGAAGCAGCCCAGGGAGTTCATACTGTCCAGTACATCCGGGTCGATGTCGTCTGCAGAAGGCAGGCTGCGGATGGTTACCTTTCTAGGCACAGGCTGCTCGGGTTCTGGTTCATTTTTACCCCCACTGGGAATATGAAAAGAGAGGGGAAAAAAATGCAACACACAAAAAGACGAGGTCAGCAATTTTTTGTTCTTTCTGTYATGTTACTTATTAAGCTAAATATCCATTTCAATTAATTGTAGCCCATAGAACTTGTAAATATCCTTTATAGAGTCTTTTCAGGTGACGTCAAACTGGAGGTTGGTCATTCTGACTGCATTGCTGCTATAAACAGAAGCTTGCATTTTATCATCCATTATAATATCAAAAAATAGTAAATCATTAGATCAGATTACAAGGAAGGTTTGCACTACATGTTTTCACAAATCAATAAGAAGTTACTCAAAATTGCTAAGAGGAGAGTAGGCATCTGAGGCTGGTCGGGTTAAAGCAGAATTTCAAAGGGAAAACTTTGAGCAACATCTGAGTTTGTTCTGCACATTTTCTGTATTTCTTTTATTTGATGAAACTGAATTTGTGCATTACACTAATCATTAGTCCACCAGACTGTGATAATAGCCCACACAAAGCTCTGAGCTGTCTGCAGCTCTCTGATCCAACCTCAACACATTTGACTGTATGTCTCTAACCCCTCTGATARCACTTAAGACTTTGTGAATTATTTGGTGTTTTCACAAAGTCTGTGCAGGTCAGTGCTGGCAGAATCTTCTCATCTTCAGTTTACTGAGCTCGCACAGGTCTTGGTCACCAATCATCAGCAGTTTTTCTAAATACCGCTCTTTTGCTGCAGGCTCAAGATCATACATACTKTACATTTTAGAACAGTCTGCCTTTGTTGCAGAAGCTTTACTTTTGGATAACATAGTGACACTGAGGAAACATAACCTAAGCAATAAAGGGGGCATACCCTGCAAAAGCCACCTTTTAGCTATGAAATACATTTTGTTGTGTTTTTGGAGTCTCTAGAGTACAAAACATTTGAATTTAGTCTCTCCCGGTGCTGCATAGTATATCTTATATAACATTTACATTTTTTTAGGCATAATTTTCAACCCGTTCAGTTTTCTCTACATTCTGTGAATGTTTTCAGAAATATTACGTCACAGACTTTTCAATGGAACTGACAAATAAGGTTGACATTATTTAATTAATTTGTAAATAAAATGTTATTCAGTTGTAAAATCCTCTCTCAGACTGAAATGAACTGCTCAGGGAGTTGGCAGGGGGTGGGGTGTGAAGAGTCTCATTTGGATTTTAAGASACAKCCTCAAAACGAGTTGATCTGAGAAACACATCAGAAAAGGGGTRAAAGATAGGCTWAATAYGAAATTAATTYACACAATAAAACTAATACAGTTCAGTTGATTTGCATGTGTTTTAGAGAGTTTCAACAAAAAAATCCTTTTCAGTCATTCTTTTCAGTTATTAACCTGTCTCTTTGTGCTGCTTGTGTTACAAACTTTGTGTCTTCATTACTCCCTTCTTTTACCTAAACTCCTTTTACTGTTTTTGTCTTTGTCTCCAGAGAGAACACAAACAGGCCTTAAAATGAACAAACTAACACTAGTTTCTGAAAGATTTCAGTTCAAAACAACAGCAAAAACAGAAAACACATCTTTTAAATCTATAGCAATACGCACGCATATTTTGAAAGATTTAAGTCAACAAGCGCCTCATTACTTTTTTCCTGAATCCATTATTTTTCTCCTGGTGAGTTCAGTGAAGCAGAAACCTCCACAGGCAGTTACTGAAAACATCACATCTTTTGTTATGCTGTGAACTTGTAAGCTAGATGTACAGAGATGCTTTCACTTCACATAACTCCCATTTCACTAAGTGCTCATATAACGTTTGGTTGTAGGAGAAAAAATTCAATCAACAGTAAATCAAGCTTTCATAACAACTAATGGATTGCAATAATCTATTTCCTCTCAAATCCTTTTAATAAAATGTCATTATCTTCATTAAATTTGCTGAATCAGATGCCACTAGGTGTCACGCTCGAGCAACGGAATCTGAATCCAAAACAAAAGCCCAACTTACAACTTTTTCCATCATTTTCTTTATAGAAAACACTTTAAAAGTGTTTAAAAATTTATGCTTGTGTGATTTGCTCCTCACAAGAGCAGCCTTGCTGTAGAAAAACATGCACATGTATTATAATGGACTTTCCTCTCGTTCATTCCTTCAATTGTTCTTCATTTAGCCCATCATTTGTTAGACCCCCAGCTGTGCAGACACAAGGCTCTTTCAGTAGATGCCTCGTACCGTCACTGACACGTGTTCTGACCACCTCGCTCCATCCAGGAGGCAAATGGAGGCGCGGGGGGGGGGGGGGTACGGTGCGCAGCGCCGTGGCTTCTGAATAAATGAAGATGATGTACCAAATTTCCACAAGGCTGCTATGAAAACATCAACATTTTAGGCTGTTTCAGAAGATGTCCCATAACATTACTGACACGTGTTCTGACCACCTCNGGGGACAGAGACACGCCTGTCTGTTGCGCATCTTAACCTCTGAGCGAGGTAGTGACAGAAATGTTACTCGGCTGGCTTGTGCCGGGCGGACAGCTTTGGGGACCACCCAGCTGCAGGTTTTCTAAGTCAAAACACTACATTTAAACTTTTAGTGTGTTTTTTCAAAACCCGCGAGCTCCTTGCTGCAGAGGAGGTAATTAATAATTAAAAACTTTATCAGCACAAAGACTGGCTAAAAGTAGCAACACTGCAGATACAACCTTRAAGAGAGTCAGGTTATTTTGAAACCTGAAACCCTAAAAAAGATGTGCTTGGACAWACTTTGATCTCTGCAATATAATTAGGGGTAAGTGTCAATCGGTGACTCATCAGCAGCTTGATAGACAGCAACACATCAGAGCAGCAGAGTTTATACTAGAGCCGTGTTTCCATCCAATTTTAATTTGAACACAAAAAGGAAAAAATGAAAAAATGTGAATCAGACGTTTCCATCAACTGGCTTCAAGCGAATCAATTACATCAGATGCATGCGTRTAGTAAACAGGAAGTAAAAGTCGCATCTCAGGAAAATGGAGAGAAGTTATCAAGAACATGTTGCTACTATCAGGAAAGTTGTAATTATTCTATAATCAACTAGTTCTGGTGATTTTACATGCTGTCTGGAGACGTAGAGAAAGAAACTTAATTCACTTCAAGTTAAGGGAATAACTGAGCATTCGCCAACAGCGGAAGGAGGGTCCAGCTTCTGTCGCTCTGGTACCGGTACCGGTTTCGGACAGACAGCGAGAACAGCTGATCAACCATGTGAGGTAAATGTTCGCTACATCAGAACTTATTCGGCAAACGTCTCCTTTTGCGCTTTAACTCTTTTTCGAAAAACACAAAAACCACCTCAAGCGAGCGTATCAACTTTTATGCGAATTAGAGGAAGTTTTTTCGAATCATGCCATTTCCATTCACCTTTTCTGATGCCATACTTCAAAATGCGCATCAAAAAATGCTGATGGAAACACGGCTTATATTGATAAAAGTTCTCTGAAAGTGGATGTGAGTACATTAAGAGATTGTCTCTGCTGGTGACTTCTGAACTGCCAGAGGAAGCGTCAACACAGAGGGGCTGTTCACCCATTAAGTGGTACTGTCTCCTGAAAGAGCCTACAGAAGGACAAGCAACTTTCTAAAGACAAAAGCTCACATTAATCTCCTAAACCCAGCTCTTGTCTTGTCTCACTTTTGTTTCTAAAACCTTTTAGTTGGGATGAGAACCTGAACCAACTCTTCTCCCTGGATTCATTTATGTTACATTAGCTTAACAAAAGTTCATCCTTAAATGCTTTTAATGTAGCATGTATGTCTTATCTTTAGAATGCCATGTTAGTTTAATAAGGTGGACGCATTCAGGGGCAAGTGTTAAACAGTGGCTACAATCAGGTTAGGTGGGTTTAGTCTCTACATCCAAGCTTGTTCCCTGAGGCCTTCTCCTTGTTCACTTGACCATACGCTTCAAATTTTTGTTCATGCTCCACCAATTTACCCCCACGTCCCCGAGAGTGAAGTCATGCCCTGCATAAATGGACTCCCGTGTACATACAGTAGCTGAAACCCAAAGTCATTTTTCATGTGGTCGCTCCCTTCAGGCCTACAAGCCCTGCAGAGGAGTCYAACGAATGAGAAGAGCATGGAAGGAAAAGACGGGGGAAGACTTACATGTACCACGTGTGCTTCTGGATTTGTTCTAACTGTAAGAGACAGAAAAACAACAACAGATTAACAAACAAAGAACTTCTCGTTCTATCTATCATACCATTTTCATGCTGAAAGATTTTTGCTGAGTATCTATACAAGCTGAAATTAGCCTAAAATAGCTAAAAAAAACAGCTGAAATAGTAAAACGTAGCACAAAACAGAATGAACACAATTGCTTATTTAAAAGCTGAAATTATCGAAAACCTTTTAATTTAACTGAAAAAAGCTCAAAATAGCTAAAAAGTAGCTAAAAACAGAAATTAGATGAAAGTAGCAGCAAACAGCTGAAATAAGCATAAAATAACTAAAATAGCAGAAAGAAGTTAAAAGTAGCACAAAAGTTGAAATTAACATTGTAACAGAACTAATACTTTTATGTTTAAGCAAGTAATTCATGACATCCTTTAATGACCTAGGTTTTCATGACATTCTGTTCATCTGCAG